GCGCAAAACTCCGCATTTGAACAGTCAATAGCAAATATTTAAACTAATAACAAAACAGTAGCTGATTCAGAAGTGCCAGATTGTCATAGCAAAGTCAGAATTGCCTCCTCTCCTAGGTTCACGAAACGGTCGTCTATAAAATGCATTGCTGTTCTGTTGTAAGTAATCTTAAAGATTCCTAAATGCATCTACTTTTGGAAGGCCAAATAAAGTGCTTTTGCTTTCGCCTAGAAACACACAGCGTCTCCCTGACATGCTGCTTCAACACTAACTGCGGTTACTGAAACCACACCTTCTTTCTTTGCGTGCACATTTGGGCGGCATTATGCTAATATTTCCACATAGTGAGGTAGATACTGTATGTGGGGGCGTGTTAGAACGAGCCGTTTTAGGGGGGCGTGGCAGAGTCTTAACTTTGATAAAGAATATCTCTTTGGTTTTGAGACTTTAGTCTTTGCAACTTCAGGGATCTTATCTATGCACAATCAGCTTGTAACACTCCAAAGAGAAAGGAAAACTTGAAATCGCATCATATGACCCCTTTAAGATTTATTAATCTCCAACTTCTCATACTCTGTCCTTTCTCCTTATTAGCGGATATTGATGACATGAAGATTTGCTATGTGCTTCTTGATGGTTCCAATGCCACAAGTGACATATTCTACTTCACAGTGGAAGACAATGGTAAGAATGTCTCTTCCTGGCCCCTCTCATTAACTGGAAGTGTCATGTGTTACTAAAGCTACTGTAGGAATTCTGAAGCTCTCTGTTTATCAATTAAATCAATTTTGCTGAAGGGGACTTTTTTAGGTTGGTTTATAATTAGCAGAGTATTTCTTTGTCAGAGTCAGTATTAACCAATGTTTGATGCTTCAGTGCTTCTTAATTTTATCTGGTCAAAGTTGAACTGTCAGGTTTGGAAATCATACTGTATGCCAGCTCGTCATGACACACACAAACACGCATTCAGACATGAAAAATGAAACACTGTCTAAACCAAAAATCTTTTTAAACTTGGATGAGCCTGGACAAGTTGGTAGAGCTTTTGTGGTCAGTAAATAATAACATTTAGCTAATGTGGAGTGAGGAGCATAATTTTCTTAACAGAATGTCTAAGCATTTCCCAGTAACCTTCTGCAAGGCTGTAGTTTTTCGTCCAGGAATTATTTTTTACTTATATTTGAATTCACTGCCAATGTTAATTAATTTGATCAGCACAAACAAGGTTGTGTATCTGTATGAAATCCTTAATTGTAAACTTAAACGGGTACAGACATTTGCTTGTTAGCAGTTTAATTGATGGCACTTTAACTGCATAGGAACTGGAGCATGCACTAGGGCTGGCACTGCATCTCTTTGGCAACATTTCAGCTGGAGGCAGTCACTGCTATAAGAGCCAAGAAAGATACAATACCATTCAGACATAGTCCCAAAATAATCTGGTACTTACAAACAGTATTCTCTAAACATTTTTGAGTACATTTTACAAACCTCAGATTGACACACTGTGATATCTAAAATTCATTTAGGCTATAGCTAATGGATAGGATTTGAACAGGTTCACATCCTTGCTGGAGGTGTATTTACATATACATTTCTCAAAGTAACTCTCACCTTCTGTTAAGACTGAAT